CGGCTTTGTTCTGGTGTCCCTGGTCTGCTGGTGTCCCTGGTCTGCTGGGCTGTCCCGCTGCGGGTGTGCTCAGCGGCTTTGCTCCCCGTCTCCCTGGCCTGTATGCAAGTCAGAACTGGCATCCAGATTCAGCCGCGGTTGAAACTGATCAGTTTCAGCAGCGGCTGACACCAGTTCCGACTTACATACAGATTCAACTTAAGAACAAACCTACAGTCCCTATCTTGTACGTAACCCGGGGACTGCCTGTACTATTGTTCTGGGGAACAGTGAACAGAAGGGAAAAAACATCCAGTGATGAAAGCTGAAAACAATTTTATATATTTCCAATGGAAAACAGGGAAGGCTTGTTAATGAAGTTAATGAAGCATTTTGCAAAGATTTCAAGAACTGTAATAATTTAACAGTTTTCTGAATGAGCTTTTTTATTTTTTGTGCTTTAAGTGCTAGAAGTTCTGGGTGATTCCAGATCCAGGAGACTGGTTAAGGCTCACATCTAAAGTTTTCTTGTTTTGTTTTTAAAGAAAACAGAAAGTAGAATCAGTGTAACTAAATAGAACAAGTCCAGCTACTGGAATTCCCCTCTTATTTCAGATCCACTCACTCATTGTATACTTCATTTGAAAACAAAAATCTGTTTCAAATCTGAACAAAACTAATGCCAAAAAACCACAAAATGCTAGCTACTGTAATAAAACAGCTTTGAACAGGAACACCAAATTATTTGTTGTTGCTTTTCAAATCACTTTTCTTTGAATACCAACAAAGGTGGGTGCTTTTTTGTTTTGTTTTTTGTTTTCCTGTTTTGCAGCCACAGGCCAAATTCTGATCCTAGTTACACTGATATGATTCCAAAATTCTCTCCTGTCTTATTCTGTGAAACAACTATTCTGATCGAACTGCTGTAGACTTTACACAATTGCTATACAAAAAGCATATCTTTCCCCCAAAATGACAACTTTTCATATTAAAACTAAGCAATAAACCACAGGATTTCAAGTTAATGCAAGCCATGCTTCCATTTGCTAGTGTCAGTTAAAATTGGTGGCATCCACTTTGGATGTCACACTACACAGTGACTGAAACAAGCAGAGGAAATACAAATACAATAAATAACTTCAAATATAAATTCTTCTTTAACAATTGTGAATTTTAACACCAGATACTAGAAAGTATCACAGAGCTCTATTCTTTGCTTGCAAAAGTTGGCCAAACCACAAAAAAACACCTTTTGGCCCATTCTGTAAGATTCTTCCATCAAGAGCTTAAGGAGACTGTGTGAATGAGTCTATCCACCCAGAAGCAAATTTATTTTAGACCACAGAAGCTAAAGTCATAAAGAAGGAGACTGGTTTTGCAGCCACAGTTGCACTTAACAGGAGGTGACAAGATGTGGATGTGCATGAAACTGCACTCCCATTCAAAGCAGCTGCTGCTGGAGCCATTCTGCTATGGACTGTTGAGTCAAGAAGTACAGCCCTATAGAAGCATGCTGAGGATAACCAAGTGTAACATCAACTGACATGGTGCAGCTTACATAGCCCAAGTGGTAGTCCTAAATATTACCAGGTGTGAAAGTGCTGGGAGATGGCCATATCTCTAACCCTACTCTGCCCAGTCAGTTGCTTCCAACCCTGCTTCCCCTCTCATCAGACAGAGTCAGACCAGGGGCACTGGACCCATAGGTCTCCCTTCCACGAAAATAGCAATATTGGCATTCAGGAGGAGCTTACAGGAGCAGAATAGAAATCTCCAGGCTCAAAGGGCTTCTTCCTGATAGCAGCATAGATATTTCTTGTTCCTGCTTCTTCCTGTAGCCCCAGAATGGCACCAGAAGGTCTTGCCTTGAACACCAAGCTCAACAGCTTCCCAGTTCCTATTCAAAATGTATATGTGTAACTCCACCAGCAGTGCAAAGGAGCTTGCAGAAAGGACAAGACATTTAGAAATCCCCCAAGTGGCTTTTCCGGAAACACTTGCCAGCTATCTACACTGGCCGCTTGAATTTCCGCAAAAGCACTGACTTCCTACTGTAAGAAATCAGTGCTTCTTGCGGAAATACTATTCTGCTCCCGTTCAGGCAAAAGTCCCTTTTGCGCAAAAGGGCCAATGTAGACAGCTCAGATTTGTTTTCCGCAAAAAAGCCCCGATCGCGAAAATGGGTCGGGGCGGCCGCCCTGCTCGCCCTGACCTATATCCGCCCCTGTTTGTGCCTATCGGGCAGCTCAGCAAGAGCAACTATACGAAGGTCCAAGGCTGCTATGTTATTCTACAAGGATATCTGCTGTTCCACTGTAAGGATATTGAGCTCACTGGTGCAGACAATTAATACTGAGACAAGGCATATAAGAATATAAGAGACGAACCCGGAGTACTATTTTCTAGCTCCCTTATTTCTGCAGTAGTCAGGCTGCCTCCACATGAGGGCTCTGCTTGTTTAAAAATCTACCACAGGGTGTAAACTTTTTGTGGTTAAAGAGAATTACATTTAAATGGCTACCACTCTGGCAAGTAGCAGAGATATGGAAATATCACCAATCACAATTCAATTGTGCCAATATAAACAACTGAAATCACAGCATAATCATTTTGCTTATTGTTTTCCAAGTGCTTTTCTAACATTGTTCAAAAAGAAGCAATTGGTTTCTGTTTCTAAATTGATGTATACTGGTCAGTACCAAGTTGCATTCTATTTTAATCTCAACAATCTAATAGAATGTGTTCATAATATAACTAGTATTTCAACACTTTTGTATGCATTTATGCATTTTAAAAGAGCAGCATAATTTACAGAAGATAAAGTAATTCAGCAGTGAAACTGGAACACTCAGACTGTGCATGTATAATGAATCCAGTTTCATATCCTGACACAATGATTCAGCCCAAACAAGCAAAAAAGCACCCTCTGCTGGGAAAAGTATACAACTGCTTTTCTTCATCTCTAATCCTCTTTTTTTAGAATACAAATTAATTCACGTGAGGAAGGACTGTTTTATGATAAAGTAAACTAGAGTAAGTAAGGCTAGCCTAAGCTATACAAACTTTGGAGTCAATATTGAATTGAATTTGAAATCATATGTTGCAAAGCTTAAGAGAAACTTTGGCATGTTGCCACACTGTTGTTAGAAAATATATGATATTTTAAAAACAGTTGTTTATAAAATGTTCTATAGCCAGGTTTTTCCAAGGGTGCCCACTTTTATCCAATTACTTGAGTGTTGAAATATCATTTGTAAAGTTGAATGAATAAATAAATAAATAAATAAACAAACAAATAAATAAATAATGTATAAACCACCTTTCATCACAAAGCACTTCATAGGTTATATACATAGAACATCCCTGAAATAGAGTTTTACCTGCCCTGGACAACAGCACCAAACAGTACATAGTATAACTACACGCAGCAGGGAGAAGGATATTTCAGATATTTTAGATAAGGTTCCAAGATAAACACACTAATTTTATGTGATATATGAAGAACATGAGATTGTAATAACATTTCCTGAATTAATTTACACAAGATTCCAATTTAGGACTGGCTAGAATGGTGGATGTGATTTGCAAATTAAAAAGGAAAGAGAAAGGGATATCAATGGAGAGATGGTGGGGGTCAGTTAGAATGAAAGGATGGAACTGTGGAACAAATGTCAGAGTAAGAGGAGGAAGAAACTAGGGCTCTGATCCTGCAAGCACGTATGCATGTGGTCGATTGCACTACTGTGACAAGTTCCACTGAAGTGATGGGACATCTCTTGACAGTAAAGCTAAGCACACACGTTTGCAGGAGTTGAGCTAACTGCAGCTATAAGGAAGAAAAAAGGTCTCTGTGGTATATGGACAAATCTAGTGAAGCACTTTCCTGGAGACTGTGTGGAGGTCAGTAAGAAAAAGCCTCTTAGAGAGGTGAGGTAGGTGGGTTGTGTGGGAAGGGAAATAAGGACTATGAGGCTCACAGGAGCCTGGAGAAAGAACAGATCAGGAAAAACAGGAGCTGGAATGCGGGAATGGTAAACTGGGCTGCAGGGCAATGAGAGTTTAGCAAGAGGAAGGACAGAAACAGCAGCTCTGGAGCACAGTGATGGGACTGATATACAGTAGAAGTATTTCTCCTTCAAGTGCCCATCTTAAAACAACCCCATTCACAACATGGAATCCAAGGATTATAGAGTGTTCCATTCAGAAATTGTTTTGCAGTACAGTATTCTATAAGAAAGGTCCTTCCTACCTTGAATATATTCAGCTGTTGATTAATAATGTCTGTTTCCATTCCAACAGTACCTTGAGACTCTTCATGTTCTTCAGCTCCCCCAAGCAAACAGGACAATTCTTTTAATTTACTATAAAACTCTTCAATACGACTAATAGTTCCTTCCACTTGTTCCTCTCTGGCTTTTGCTCTGTCCAGTAACTTATTGCATTGTTTACTTAAAGCCTCTAAGTCCCTTTTTATACCAACAAGATCAGGAGAAGCTTCAGTGGCTAACATCATTTTACAGGTTTTATTGGCATTTTCGTTACTTGTTATAAGATCTTCCAGCTTTTTGAGGAAATTTTTGATATCCTCTCTTTGTAACCGCAGAGTGTCTAGATCTCTTCCTGCTGGACCCATGCTATCGAGCTCATCATCAAACTCTGCAAACTGAGAAAACATCTCTCTGATGTTGTTTTGGAAATGACCAATTCCCTGAAGTTTGGTCTCTAAGAACGAACACTTGTCTTCAACCTGCTGTCTGACCGTATTGTAGTCTTGCTTTAAAGAGTCAGCTTGCAACAAGAGGTCAGAAACACCTTTTGAATCAGAAGCTTCTACCACCAGTTCCTGGGCAAGTTTTGTTGCCAAGTCCACATGAGGCTTTAAAGTCTGAAGTGTTTTCTGCTGGCTCTGCAACATTGTCAAGTGTTTGTTACTGCAAGCCTGGGGTCCAAGAGCATCATGAGTTTCCAGCTGCTCTTTAGCACTTTTAAGTTGCCTCTGGGTTTCCCTGGATGATTCCTGAAACTCTTTCAGCCTTCGTGCCATGTTTTCCAAGGACTCTCTCTTACTATGTAATTGTTCTGTGACCATATCCACTTTCTGGTTCAAAGCCACTTTCTCTTCTGTAATGCTTTCTTTATCTGTTTGACTGGCATTGAGCAAACTGTCAGCTGCATTATTTAATGATTCCACCATGCCATGGTGTTTGTCCAAATCCTTTTGCCAGGCCTTCACCTGAGCAATAGAATTCTCTATTTCAACAGGATCTATGACAATCCTTACTTCAGACAGGCTATTTTGGTATTTCTCTAACCAGGGCTGCAGGTGTTCTACATGCTGTTTGTAAATGAGGGCTTTTTCCAGGCAATCATTTAACTTATCTTGCCTTTCTCTTGCTTGCTTATTTATTTCATCCCAGTTACTTTTGACCAGGCCCAGCTGAGACTGCAATTCTGCTCTGTCAACTCCTTGAGTCTTCTGTAGGAGACTTTCACCTTCTGCAACAATTTTTTCATAGGAACTAATCTGGTCAGACAAGGTCTGCTTAAAATCTTTCTGCTCTCCAATTAATGACTGCAAGATATCAAGCTTGGCTGAAATAGGGTGACCCTGGTTCAGTTCTTCCTTCTTTTTGTCCAGCCACGTCTGAAAGTCCTTAGACATTTGCTGGAACTGATGAGAAGTAGCATATGCTGATTGAAGTTGCTGAACATGATTGCCTGCAAGACACGATATACAGTGTCATTTTTACAACTAGCTACTGACCAAAATTATGGTAATTTCTAACCAAAGGAAAATATTTTTGTTCTGAGTAATATATGTTTATTGTAGTTTGCCCAATTAATTTTATTATGCTTCATTTTTCATTAGAAATTCCTACTTAACACAGAGAGTAATATTTCAGACAATATGTATAAGATAAAAAAATGTCTCTTTAGCAGAAAAAAACAAGATGAGTGAGTCTCAACAGGGGATTGAGGCCACCAAGAAGGAAGGATTTCTGCAGAGCCAACCATGGTAATAAAGCCTGCCACCATAAGAGAGCCAAGCTAAGGAGCCCATAAAAATCCAGCAAGATATTTAAGCCTCATCAATGATCATGATTCAGAGTTAAAGGCCAGTAAGGACCATTAGATCATATAGCTGGACTTCTGGTATACAGGGCATTACATATTACCCCGTTTCTTCTGTATTGACTTACATTTAACTGTAGCATAATTTGTGTTGGGCTAATATTCTGAATATATGCAAAATTTACTGTCATTCTGGCAGGGAAGCTGGGTTTGCAGGTTGAGATTTTAAAAATACCACTATTGGTTCCCCTGCACTTCAGTTCCGTCCCTGAAGACCTGGGGTATGGTTTTACATTCTTATAGTGACAGGGATAGAGATGCAGTCTGGTGTAGCTAAAACAAAAGACAGGACTATGTAGCACTTTAAAGACTAACAAAATGGTTTATTAGGTGATGAGCTTTTGTGGGCCAGACCCACTTCCTCAGATCAATATGTGGAAGAAAATCTTCTTCCACATATTGATCTGAGGAAGTGGGTCTGGCCCACAAAAGCTCATCACCTAATAAACCATCTTGTTAGTCTCTAAAGTGCTACATAGTCCTGTCTTTTGTTATAGACACAGGGACTAGCTACTAAGATTGGATCCCCAACACTAGGCAGCTGATAGTATTTAGGACTATGGCTCAGGCACATTTTGATAAACACAAGATATTTTTAAAAGGACCAGAGAACTTTAATAATTAGTGCTTTGCTCTATTTGTACATTACCTTTCCCCCTTGTTTTTAATACTAACCTGCTTTCTGTTCAATATCCATAAATGGTTTTAAGATGCCTTCCAATTGCCTAGTAAGTTCCGCTTTCAAGTACTCTTCTCCAACCAGTGCTGACAGCTCCTCACAAAGGGCCTGAGCCACTTTTATATTTTTCATTTCCTCTTCTATTTCCTGCTTCACTTCTCTAGCCATTTCCAATTGTTGTTTCATAGCATCAGGGTGTGTGCTCACAGCCAGGTTGCTGCTTAGTTTATTATCCAAAGCACTTAGCTTATCTGACAGGCTTCTCAGAAGGCTTTGATACTCTTTGCTTTTGACAATGGCATGGTCAATTTGACCACATCTGTCACTCAGTTGTCCTGTTAGACCGTCCCACTTTTGTGCCACAGCTGCCAGTTGCTTTTTCACAATTTCATGAGAAGGGGGATGTTCACCTGGTCTCTTCAGTATCCCCTGAACAGCTATGGTTAACTGTTCATACTGAGGCTTTCTGGTATCAAACTCTTTAAGCAGAATCTAAGGAGGGAATAAATAAAGATTCATTAATTTCATAACATTTTTAAGTAAATACCTCTCCAACCAAGCAGTAGTTATTAAGAATTATTAAGCCACACCAGTCTCCCAATATCAGGAGCAAGTGAATTAATTTCTAATACACACCATTCAAGTGTTGTTTTACACATATTGCATCAAGGGAACTATTTGGACTGCCAATTTTGTCGTTACAGAGAAAAAAAATAAGGCACATTTTCATAGTATACTTCTTTACTAAATGGGAATTCAATCAGCAGATACAAACACTGAATTTTCATAATATAAAAGTAAAATAATCAAGTAAATAGTACCAAGTAAAAAATCAGCATTTTGTTTCAAAAAGTGATTTCTTGCCCAGGCAGTTTTGAAATTTATTCTCAGAGCTAACATCAAAAGAGGTGTATAGTGACATAATTCTGTAATATATTATTTTAGCACCAAAATAACATTTGGGTGGATTCAAAGAAGTACTGAATGTATATTGTAAGAATTATTGAAGTTTATATCGCTAGCTCTCAGTGTTAACTTTTTTGACAATAAGTCAAAGTGTTTACAGAAGGGATGTACATGACAGTTTCATTTTTACAGAATATTGCAAAACTTTCCTTTTAAAAGCCTTAACTTTTTTAGTCACTTTTAAGTTATTTTAAAAAAGGCATTTTTAATGACTGTTAAGTGATACCTGATAATCTCATGCTAGCTATTTAGATTTTTAATTTTTTGTTTGCTTACAGACAAACATTAAATCATTTTTATACACGTACTGCAACAAAGTTCATTTTTTATACTTTCTTCTAATCACCTCATAAACGACATGGACAATGTTAGTTTCAATCATTTTTTGTGCCAAATAGGACTATAGCATCTTCTCACAGGTTAGATCAACTCTCAGGAAGAGAAATGTTTATAACCAAAATTCCTAACTTCTTTTACCTGGTCTGGTTTAACTTTGATTTCTTTTTACTGGTATATTCAGGATTTGATTTCTTTTTACTGGTGTATTCAGTCAGGATTTTCCCTTTATTTTCTCTTACTTCTTTGTTTCGCAGTCTGTAATTTACAACTTCCTTTTCTCAACCCTGCATTTTACTTGTTTTCAAATTTTTATTAGCTACTGGCATAATTAAAGGGGCAAATCCTCAAAAGAACATTTTCTAAATAGTATAAATGTTGTGAGAGAACTAGTCATTAAAAGTTATTAGCTTCTTACATGCTCAAATTAATACAACTTCAAAAGACAGTTTCACAAGAATATGGATAAACCACAGAATGGTTGAAATAGAATCATTTACTTGAGGCTCAGTATTATCTGGTATCTCCTTAGGGATATGTTCTGAACATTTTTTAGATCTTTTGATCTTTCTTTGGGTTATTTTTATTTGTTGTTTGTGTGTCTGTACTTATGAATACTATAACCATCTGAAATAAATTAGTTATGTTTTCTGATAAACTCATAGCCAATTTCTGCTGATTGTGCTGCACACTAAGTTCAAATGAATAGCACCTTAGCAAAGGGATCAGAACATGTTATAACATATACTATCAACAAACTCACCTGGACCTGCTGCTTCTGTGTATTCAGCATATTTGGGTCAATGGACAGTGGTCCAAGCACACTGACCATGAGCTCCTTCTCTAGAAGCCACTGCTTTAATTGAGCTTCTGTCGTCTGGAACTGGGTCAGGTAATTTGAGGACTCTTCGAGATTTTGTCGTCTGTCAGCTGTAACCTGATTGAGTTCCTTCCATTTGGAATCTATCATAAAGTAGTGATAATGTTTATACCCACAAAAAGCTTATGATACCCACAACGTTGTACCCACAAAAGCTCATGATACCATCTACATGTTTTGTTTGTCTTTAAGATGCTGATAAAATAAGGTATAAGAAAGTTATAAAAATGCTTCTAAAATTAATGAATAAAAACTAAAAATGGACCAAATCAGTAGCTGGACCAAATCAGTTGGTGTGAAACAGCATAGTTTTACTGCTATCACTAGGTTCAGTTCTGTGTTACATAAATTCCTCTATGCCTGCTCCTCTCTCTGCTCCCGTAAGCAATTTCTATCCCACTCCAGCTCTTTCTGTCTATCCTCTCTTGTGTAGCTCTGATTCTTTCAAGGTTTCCTCATTTGGCTCTATCGTTTTATTTACTCCTTGTTTTCTTTGGATTCTTCTTATGCTCCTTGTGTAGTCACTCAAATCTACCGTGTGTTTCTCCTCTTTAACGTCTTGTTTGCCAATCTGAAATGCCTTTGCTCCACCTTCTTACTGTGTCACTTCTCTGTCGGCCCTGCTAGTGTTGCTTTAATTCTCTTTCTAATCATATAGTCCTTGGACTTCTTCTGAGCTCCTTCATAATTTTTCTAAACTAACTGAAGTTAGAGAAATGTATATTAATATCAATGAATGACCGCAAAACTAAACTTTATTTTAAAATATAAAAAATCCATTTTTAAAAAATATGAAAATTGCATAGTGAATACTATTATTATTATTACTACTACTAGTACTAGCTATGGTCCAAAAGTGGAAATTGCCATTCTGGAGGGGGAGGAAATTTACAATTAACTGAAGAAAATGGCAAGCATACACTAAAAACAATACATTACAAAAGCCCGCGAGAGTATGGAAAAACAGCCTGATAGAAGGCATTAAAAAAGCTCCAAATGCTCTGTGTATTATATCAATGCTCTAGAAACTGATCTTAGTTATTTTTTCATATCCTTACAAAACATATCTGTATATGCACCAACAACTGCCTTCAAGCTTACCCTCACACAATTTGAAATGGATGAATTATAAAACCTCTGAAAACAGGGGGTCAAATTCTGCTCTCTGTTAAACTGGGGTAAATCCAGATAAAATTCACTGATTTCAGACTCTAGATTTGTACTGTTGTACAGAAAGTACATATTAAAATTCAAAAAGTAGAATTTTGTCCCATAGTTTACGAGAAAAGATGCAAGATAATTCAAAATTCTAGTGACTGGTAGTATGAGGAAATAATTAAAAATGTAGGAAGTTCAAAATTAATCTAAGCCCTAATGCTGGTACATTGCAGTACCTATTTTATCTAACATCTGTTTCCATTTGGGTGCCTCAGGAGAATCGGGATTCTTCTCCAACAGTTCTGTCACTTTGTCCTTCAGCTCCTGTATTTTATTTTCATTTTGCTTCAATTCTGATTCAAATAGCTACAAAGTAAAATAATAAACTTAAGTAAGTGGAAAACAAAAACAATTGAACAGATATTTAATTCCAAAATATGAGAAACACGCAAATCCTCACAATAATATCTAGTATTTAACACAGTGCTTTTCAAGTCTCAAAGAACTTTATAAAGATTGGACATATATACAGCAACAAGCCGTTTTACTTTTTTTTTTCAAAGGAGTGCACTGCTATATAATTCCTAATAATAACAGTGGCAGAGGACATAGGAATGAGGAGAACCCATATCAAATTGGTTCTTCAAAGCTCATGATACAAACTTCCTAGTTGGAACAAGTCCTGCTTCCCTCCACCAAAAACCCCACAAGATCTCCTAGGGTATGTCTACACTACCCTCCTAGTTCGAACTAGGAGGGTAATGTAGGCATACCGCACTTGCAAATGAAGCCCGGGATTTAAATATCCCAGGCTTCATTTGCAACTTCAAATGCCTACATTAACCACCTAGTTCGAACTAGGGTGGTTAATTTAGGCAACCGAAGTTGCAAATGAAGCCCGGGATTTAAATATCCCAGGCTTCATTTGCAACTTCAAATGCCTACATTAACCACCTAGTTCGAACTAGGGTGGTTAATTTAGGCAACCGAAGTTGCAAATGAAGCCCGGGATTTAAATATCCCAGGCTTCATTTGCAACTTCAAATGCCTACATTAACCACCTAGTTCGAACTAGGGTGGTTAATTTAGGCAACCGAAGTTGCAAATGAAGCCCGGGATTTGAATTTCCCGGGCTTCATTTGCAAGTGCGGTATGCCTACATTACCCCGCTAGTTCGAACTAGCGGGGTAGTGTAGACATACCCCTATAGATGACAAAATGAGTAATCTTATCACAAAGAGGGGGAAGGGCTCTAGTATGAATTCTCTATAAAAGCCAAAATGTTGTATTATAGGGTATGTCTACACTACCACCCTAGTTCGAACTAGGGTGGTTAATTTAGGCAACCGAAGTTGCAAATGAAGCCCGGGATTTAAATATCCCAGGCTTCATTTGCAACTTCAAATGCCTACATTAACCACCTAGTTCGAACTAGGGTGGTAGGGTAGACATACCCGTAGTGAAAAATGTTGTTTACCTAATTGCACTAAATGAAACATAAAATGAAGAAATCTACATCAATGTGGGTTAGGTTCAGTGTTCCCTATAAGATTTTCCATTCATGAGTGGAGTGAGTTTTGTTTTGTGCACCAATATTGAGGTCATGTGTGCTTGTTCAGAAGTGTGCCACCGTGGCACCCAAGGTATGAACCTCTCCCTTTTTCCCTGTGCTGCCATGTCTCCCACCTTCTGCTCGCCCCATGTGCCCCCCACCCCTCAACCCTCCTCCCTCCTCTGCTGTCCTGGCTCCTGCCCTTTTCACTCCCCTCAGACCTCGTAGGATCTGCCCTCCTCCCCATCCTCTCTGACCCCCGCACCTGCCCTTCCCTTCCCCCTTGTGACCACCCCTCCTCTAGCCCCCCTCTCCATTCCTTTTCCTTCTACCTGCGCTGCCTCTCTCCTCTGGTGCTGGTCCCTCCCCTGCAGGTGTCTGCCCTTCTGCTTCACCCTCAGAATCCCCTGGCAACTGCACCATCCCTTAGCCCTGCACACTCCTGGTGCTTCCCCCTTCCCTCACTGCCCCTGCCCCCTCTGCCCCTGGTGCCCACCCCCTCACCACCCTCTGCCCCAGTTCTCCTCATGCCCCTCTGTGCCCTCACATATTACTTGCTCCATCCCCCACCTTCCTCTTACCCACCCCTCCTTTCAACCCCTCTTCTCTCGGCACCCCTTTCTCCCCTCTTTTCTTCCTTCTTCTTGCCCCCCATTTTCCCTCCCCATTTCTCTCCCAGAATCACCCTGTCCCCTCCCCTCTCCCACCTCCACTGACACCTTCCCATCCTTCCCCCCCCCCCTATCCACTCCTCCTGCCCTTTCCCCTCACTGTCTCCTCTTGGCCTCCTGGCATTTGTCTCTCCTGCACCCTGCCCCTTGGTGCCTTCACCTTTCTTCTCCTGTCTTTGCCCTCAGCATAAGCCCCTTCCTCTCCTCTCCTTACCTCTCCTCCTGCCCATTCCGTCACCTTCTGCCATCTTGTCACCTGCACCTGCCGGGTAGAGCAGCATGGTGGGTGGCTGTCCTGTGTGCCAGGGCTGTAGCCAGGGCTGCGGTGCTATATTTAGTACCATGTCCCTGGCCCAGGAGCAGCTGCACCGTGGCCTGGCTCCAGTCCCAGCACATGGGGAAGCTGTCTGCTGCCTACCACGTAGCTCATCCCATGGCGTAGCTGGAGTAAGGGCTGCGGTGCCATTTTTAGTATCTAAAAGCCTACCTGGTTCTTACTACATTTAAACTACACCACAGCAGAGGTAAAACCCGGACCAGCGTCAGCCAGGAGAGAGCATCTTCCCTTATCAACAAACCGTGTAGTTGGTAAAAATTTGCATGATTAACAAATTACCTGCTTGCTTCTTAACATCCCTACTTACTACTGGGCCAAGCCAGCACAGACAACCTGAGGTCTGTGTTTAGTAAACTGTTTAAATAGGGCCCAGTCCAAAGCACAGTGAAGCTAATGTAAAGACTCCATCCAGGCTAAGTACTTATATATCTACATGCATGCATGCGTGCGCGCACACACACATTTTAAATTATATGTGTGTTAAGAAGGTCCAAGGCTTGTCATTTCTGGACATTCGGTTTTAAAAACAAATAAGCACTTCTTTTCAGAGCTTGGTTTGAGTTTTAGGGCTGAATATCATTTAAGTCTGAGGAATTTCTGGTCACCAGATGCAAAGTTATGAATGTTTATGTTGACCAATTAATTCTGAAAAAGTATACAAGTTGGTCAGATTCTGCTTCCATTTATATTAATGCAACCTCAATAAGATACTGGAAGTTCATAGTCACAACTCAGGGCAGGATTATCCCTTTTAGTAGCTGTACAGTGAGGCAGAGAGCTCTTCCCTTTAAGTGTGCCCTTATACAAAATATGTGCGCTCTTACCTTGCCTATCACTGTTAGAGAGGAGATAGGAAGTATCTGTTCCCAATGCTGAGGAGAGCTGGGAGCCAACTGCTGTTTTAGCAATTCTCCCACAATAATTTTAGTGGGGGAATCTGGAATGGTTTATAAATTAACAAGTCTGACATTGTGGCTGTAAGGAAACTGCTGCCTTGGTGTGGTGTAACCCTCTGCAGCTTCACAGTATGGGACATCAGTGGAGCTGTAGTGGGGACTAGCAGTTGCAGAAACAGCTTTCTGTTTGACAGAGCCCTTTAAGTCTTATGTGCAAGCAAATAAACTCAAAATCATCCTGGGTATCAGAAGGTCTAGTACATCCTCATCTATTTAAATTGGCAATTATTCTGACATGAGCAATTCCACTTCTCCACTTTTAGCCATACCTTTTGCCATATTTGCTCTGTCCTTGTTTGGCATATTTATGGGATTTACATCTCTAAATCTCTAAATAATAGTGCTAATATAGGGCTCAATTGTGGCATC